CTAGTTAGTTCCGGGCTGCTCAGCCCTGGAATAATCCCACAGAAACTATATTATTTAAATCACTGCTTGGCCCATTAGCTCTAGCTTCTTATTGGCTAACTCTTACATTTTAATTTAACCCATCTCCATTAATCTGTGCATCACCACGAGATCATGACCTACCAGCAAAGTTTCAGCATATCTGTCTCTGTCAGTAACTCCATGGCTTCTCCCTGACTCCACCTTCCTTCTCCCAGCATTAGTCACCCCCCCCCCGCCCCCTGCTACCTAAATTCTGCCCTATCAACAAGCCGAGGCAATTTCTTTATTCACCAATGGTATTCAAAGCATACAGAGGGGAATCCCACATCAGAATAATGGGCTAAGACACCCTTCTATCTAGTCTGAGAAAGGCCGTAAGTTCCTTTAAAGCATGGTTCTCAACCTTCCTAATGCTGCAGCCCCTTAATACAGTCCCTCAGGTTGTGGTGACCCCCCAACCATAAAATTATTTCCATTGCTATTTCGTAACTGTAATTTCACTACTGTTATGAATCACAATGTAAATATCTGTGCTTTTCAATGGTCTTAGGTGACCCCTGTGAAAGGGTCATTCGACTCCAAAGGGGTCACGACCCACAGGTTGAGAAATTCTGTTGTAAAGACTATTGCCTGAAGTACAGTTAATAAAAACTCAGAGAGAGAAATTGGGGTTCAACGTGAAGGTCAGAAAAGCAAAACAGCCACTGGCTCTTACCTCAACCTCAGTCTGAAATGGCAATCCTGCCTCCAGGAATCTCAGAGTGAGACTGTGGCTGAGAGATGTCTCCTCCCATCTTATATTCCTCTCTAGGGCTGGGATTAAGGGCATGCACCACTACTGCCTGGTTTCTATGGCAAACTACTGTGGCTACTGGGATTACAGGTGTGTGTCATCACTACCTGGTCTGTAAGGCTGACCAGGGCGGCTGTTTTACTTTTCTGACCCTCAGGCAAGCTCTATGTATTAAAATACAAATGAACTATCACTACAGTGGCCAAGTAAACATCAGAGTTACAGTGTTGGATGGTGTCTCTGACACCTGGGTGGCATAAACTAAAACTTTTCTGGAAGACTGAGCCTTTAAGAAGGGTCCCTCAGCGGCCAGGTCTGTCTAGGTCCAATATCTGTAACCCCCTTTCACAGACCTTTGAGGGCTAGGGAGATAGGTCAGTGAGAGACCGTGTCTCAAAAAAGATGACACCTAGGCTTGTCCTCTGACCTCTCCATGCATGCACACGCATGCACACGCATGCACTGGCGTGCAGGAACACACACCCATTAAGCCACCTGACTTGATTTCTCCTCAGGGAATCCAGATGCCTTTGAATTGATGGGCCCTTCTGCCCAGGCTGCTTCTCCCCAGGACACCTCACCTTCCTACATTGTCTTCCTCCCCCATTCCCCAGCTCCCTAGACAAGACAGGGTTTCTCTGTGTAGCCTTGGTTGTCCTGGAACTCACTGTGTCTACCAGGCTGGCCTTGAACTCAGAGATCTGTCAGCCTCTGCCTCCTGAATCCTGGGAATAAAGGCGTGTGCCACCACCTTCGGGTCCACATTGTCTTCTTTAATAACACTTTTAAGAAAGTATTTTCAGCCATTGCCAAAGTGGCTCCTCTTTCTCGGGCCTCCTCCCTGGATTTCTTGGTTTTGTGACATTCTAATTCCTTACACTAGCTACCTGTTGTACTTGTGTCTCTTGGCTATAATAAAGCACCGTGAAGGCAGAACTTGATTTACTGACATTGCGTCTTAAAGCATAGGGCCGGGCTTGGTACAGAGAGATGCTCAAGAAATGGTTGTTGGTGACCAAATGAAGGAACACTGTGTTGTTGCAGGATAATCGTGCACACTGTGAAGATGTGTTGCTGTGATTGGTGTAACAAGAAGCTGAATGGCCAATAGCAGGGCAGGAAGTGTAGGTGGGACTTCCAGGCAGAGGGAGGAACTGGGAGAAGGGATCCAGGCATGCTGCTTCTACAGCAGGCTCAGCAAGTCGGATGTACCCTACTAAAAAAGGCAGCTGAGGCTTGTGGTGGAATGTAAATTAAAAACAAGGGTTAATTAAGTAATAAGAGCTAGCTGGAGAAAAGCCTAAGTGAAGGCCAAGCTTTCATAATTAATAATAAGCCTCTATGTCATTATTTGTGAGCTGGTGGTCAAAGGATAGCCCATCAAGAAAGCTTGATACACTGTCCATGTCTATCACACACTGTGGGCAGCTGAGGGGTTCACCTCACCCTCAAAGGGCTCCCCCATCCCAGTTAATGACATGGAGTTGCCCCGAATTGGCAGTGATCCCCTCCGGAAACCCTGTATGGTGAGTGTGAGCAGGGACTCACACAGAGTGAACCTTGCCCTGTCTGTCTCCGCAACTGGTCCCCATTTCCTGAGATGATGGTGGCCATGGATGGCACAAGCACCCAGGACCCCTAAAGGAGACCCCAAGGGTGAGTCCTCATCTTGAGGAGAGAGCGAGAGAACTCTGACCATTGGTTTGCTCAGGGCTGGCTCCTCAGCTTTCCCACCTGCCGCCCTTTCACCTGAGAAATAGTTACATGGCTTCAAACATGAAGGTATATAAAATAGGAATAGCAGTTAAACACGTGCCAATAATAAGTCATAGATTTATTTCAAAAGAATTCTTTAGCATACATAGGATCTTATCATTTATTAAAAATGAAAGCAAATTTGCACACTAACAAAAGAGATGGGCTTGTTTATCTTTACATAAGAATTAAATATTGAAACCAGGCAGTGGTGGCGCACGCCTTTAATCCCAGCTCTCGGGAGGCAGAGGCAGGTGGATCTCTGTGAGTTCAAGGCCAGCTAGTTCCAGAACAGGCTCCAAAGCTACAGGGAAACCCTGTCTTGAAAAAACTAAACAAAACAAAAAGAAAAAAACAAAAAAAGAGAGAATTAAATCATGCTTGAATCTTGACTGCAAGATGTAATATATCTTCAGTGTTCCTCAGAGTTGATCAATACCTTGATTTTGTAATTGTCAAGGCCAAAGACACCAGTTCACATAAACCCCACACAGTATAGAATGTTTGAAGTATGTTTAGGGTCTTTTAAAAACTGTTGGAAATTCTGTCTTAATCTCAAAACAAATTTCATTTAACTATTTTTTTTACAAAAATAAAATCAGCAAACCAAGTTCAAACAGAAAATTTAAAAGTCAAACTTTTTGACATGACCCAATCCAAAGACAGACTAATTTGATACATGCAGAAGACCATGGTAAAAAAAAGATTAAAAGCTTTTGTTATTCTCTAATTAAATCATTGTGTTTCTGTAAGAGCAGAAAACTCTGTATTGTTAAAAACAAAAACAAAATGAAACAAAACAAAAACTTTCATACACAAACTGACATTTTTAACCTAGTTTATGTAATGTCATGTCCCTAACTCACAGAAGTAAATTGGAACTTAACGCTATTCTTTTTTTTTTTTTTTTTTTTTTTTTGCTGTTTATGACCTGACTTAGTCTTGGAAATGAACCCAGGTTTTTCCACAGCTTTCCTTGGTACTTTGCAACAGGAGGGGCATACGCTGTGCAAAGTGCATGCCAGACCCAAGGCTGTGGTGACATCACGTGTGGTTACAGGCCAGTGTGGCCAGGACACTTAGGACTGATTGTGTGTCTGATTCTGAGGTAACTTTGGTCATTCCACATCCTAAACCTTTTACTATGTTACCTTTTCGTGAGTCTGCCTTCAGGCCCCCCGTGGGTTGCCATCCACAGCTGAAGAAGCTTGGGTGCAGGAAACCACCATGAAAGGGTAGCTGTGGCTAGGGTGTGAACGAGCTATTTGAATGTGAAGGTGGTTTGATGAATTATTGGAGGATTGGGAAATGGAAAAGATTGATCCTAAGCAGAGAAAGCTGAAATCTCAGGAGCGAAAAAGATCAGTCATGAAAAATGGAATCAGGAAGTGAAATAAAACCCCTCTGCTCCACACGGAAAATACGTTGTTAATATGAGAAAGGGCGAGCAGAGCTGATTGCAGGGGCGCATGCCCAAAATCTCAGCTCCTTTGAGGCTGAGGCAGGAGGGTAAGGACTCTGAGACTTGTTGGGCCACTGAGGGAGACACTGTTTCAAAAACTAAATAAAATAACAACACACATGTTAAGAACAAGAAGGCCACACTCAGAAGTAGCCTGTCAAATTCTGATTATTTTTAAGAACAAGGGGGAAATTGCAAGTCATTCCACAGACAAAAATAAACAAGTTTACCAGGCTGACAGCTTGTTTTCTGCAACTCAAGGATCGGAGGAAAGTGGGGCATGGATTACAGACGGCAAGTAATACTCCTGGGGAAGGCAAACGAGGAGAACTTTCTGGAAACAGTTTTCTGAAAGAATGCAGCCCACTTCCCTTCTTCATTATGTTTTCTGAAAAAGACAAAAAGGTAGACCTGTGGTCTTAAAAATATCATAGCTAGGTGCAAGGACTCACGCCTATGTGATCAGCACTTGGGAGCTTGAGGCAGGAGGATTGATTTGAATCTGAGGCACACGTGGGCTAAGTTTGGGCTAGAGAGTGAGACCCCCACCAACCCCTCAATCCTACCCAAATCACAATCCCAGAATCACTCACCTCTGAGGAGAAAACGTGATGAAGAAGAAATACGGCTCCCTGGCATCGTGACACACACCTTTAATACTTGGGAGGTAGAGGCAGGAGGCTCTCTTGTGAATTTAGGCTAGCCTCTTCTTCATAGCAAGTTCCAGGACTGCCAGGGCTAACAGACAGATCTCTACTCAAAATAAATAATAGACAAAGCGTCTCTTCTCCTTTCACAGTCTGCCGTCGTGCGCTGGGTGCCTGACGCAGTCTCTCACCAGGTTTTCCCACTTTTCAGAATCAAGAAATCCCTGGCCAGGAGACAACAGCAAAAGCATTTTTCATTCCCCAATAGACTGGAATAGGAACTGCTAATAAATTCAGGTGAACTCCTCCAAGAGATGACACGAGAGGAGACCCTACCGGATCTGTAAGGATTTACACACACCACCGTGAAGGCCATCCATCCATACCACACAGGAAGCCAGGCATGTTTAGCCGCTGCGGATTTGGCCACACTGACGTTGAGACTCTGGTTTGCTTGTTCTGTTCTGCATGGATGGATTGGTTGGTTCCATAATAAAATATGTAGAATCTTTGAAAAAACAGAAAGAAAAAGAAAAGAAAAGCAAAAGATAATGAATGAAGCTTAGGGTTTGATTCGCTGAACAAATGATTGTAGTTAACTGTGTAAGGAAGAAATGATTCGAGCCTAAATAACAAGGAAAAAGATTCATAGTACAGAATCTTGTTCTGCTGTGCAATTATGTATCTTGTTATAAAATTATTATGAATCTTTTGAATAAATTCTTACATTAAACAACTACTCCAATATTTTTATGTTGGAGATACACACACACACATACACACACAGGCACACACAGAGACACATGTACATACACAGACACACACACGTACACACACACATGTAAGTGCACACACACAGTTGACAGCTGTGTGCTTTGTAATCCCTGCCACCTTTCTCTACCTCCGCTCTGACTCATTTAAAAACATATTTCTCTCTTTATTGTGTGTATGTGTTTCTGCCACACCCGGCATGTAACCAGAGGACAACGAGGAAGGTTCTCCTCACCTAGGAAGTGGATTGGGGGGATCAAACTTAAGTCATTGGGCATGGCGGCAAGTGCCCCAAGAGCCTTCATTCTAAACACAGTAATTCCCTGCCTGTTGGGTGTGGTCGCGCAGTCCTGTTTGCTGGTTTACCTAGCGTAGTTTAATTTCCTGCCGGTTCTGCTTTCATCCTCTTTATTGTGCCTGTTGTGCTGGCGGCCCAGTTTCATCTCCTTTCTCGCAGATTCTCTTACGTGTCACAGACGTGAGCTGACGTGTGCCACAGCATCTGCACTCAGTCACAGGCTCTTATCTGCATAGGGACAGGGGTATGTTTTCGTCAACCTGTTCTGACCGTCAGCTATGTAACAGGGATTTATAGCATATGCTTTACATTGGGACTCTGTATTATACACATGTTTATATGTGCATATGTGTACAACTGTTTATATACCTGTGTATATGTGCATTCATATATCAACTGTTATATACACATGTGTATGTGCATACATATATCAACTGTTTATATTCACATGTATGCGTTATATATCAACTGTTTATATTCACATGTATGCGTGCATATATATCAACTGTTTATATACACATGTGTATTGTGCATACATGCCAACTGTTTGAGAATTCATAGTGCATTGTGATCATGCTCATCCGTGCACTCCTCTTAGCTCCTCCCAGATGCACCCTCACCTCCCTCCTGCCCCTTGACTTCATGTCTCATGGTGTCCCCATCACCTCCCATCTGTGCTGGCCACAGACTCCTGGACGTGGGCCATCCGCTGGGGTGTGGACATCCTGCCTGGGGCCACACACTTGAAGAAAAATGACTCTCCCCCAGAAGCCATCAACTGTCCATAGCTCCTTAGTCAGGTGGGCACTGGTGTCCTCCCCATCTGTGCTTGAATGTAGACCGCTTTGTCCTGTGCAGGCGACCTCAGCGCTGAGAGCTCATGATCCTAACGGTCCTGCATGCTCAGAAAGCCCTGTTTCCACACCGCTCTCCTAGCCTCTGCTCTCACAGAGTCTCTAGCCTCCTATCCCTCTTCCTTGATGGTCCCTGAGCCTTGGGGGTGTGTACCTCTGTGTGTCTGTGTGTATGATTCTGTGTGTATTTGTGTGTGTCTTTGTGTATGTCTCTGTGTGGACCTGTGTGTGTCTGTGTGCATCTGTGTGTGTATATCTGTGTGTCTATATGTGTGTGTGTATGTGTGACTGTGTGCATCTGAGTGTGCACTGAGTGTGTGTGTGTCTGTGTGTGTCTGTGTGTGTGTGATTAAGACTTTTTGAGCTTCTCCCACTGATGATCTCTTTTCTCACAAGAATTTTTATGTGACCCCGGGTAAATATGGACATGAACCAGACATATAAATGAAACATTTACTGAAGACAAATCACAAAGCAATTTATTTTAAAGCAACTTGTTGCCATACATATGATCTAACTTTTGTTGGCAAGGAAAGCAAATTTGCATATTAATGAGACAGAGTGGCCTGTTCGTCTCATACAATACAATCTAAAGACGTGCTCACCTGATGTGTACACGCTGGTGCATACACGCTCAGGAATAATGGTTAGAAAACGTTAGAAGTCCTTGCTTTCCCTGTGTAAAGGGCAGGAAACTTGGTATGTTATGTGTAAACCCCATAGTTCGCACCAGCGATAGTCTCGAATCTGAGCTGAGGTGACGCAGGCAGCATTCGTGGTGTGTGGCATGAAGGCATGCAGAGCACAGACAGCTCGTGTCAAGCGTTCACGGCTGTAGTGACCTGACACCGTGCAACACACGCGAGCACTGCCAGGCTCGCCTCGGATTCACGGTGTGTTTAGGTTTTGAATTAATTTTTGTCTGTTGCGCACTGTCAAGCCCTTCATGGGTGCTAAGCTTCGTGACCTGCCATGTGGTCACATGAGCCTGAAGGTCTAGAAGTGTGATTTCACATCAGTGGTCGGCAAACCTGCACAGAGCCAGATAGGAAACATTTTGGCTTGTGGGCCATGCGGTCTGTTGTAGCTACCGTCCTGCTGTAGCGAAAAGGCAGCCACAGAACATGTGTAAACAATGGCTGTGTCTCAATAAAACTTTATTTAAAGAAGAAGCAGCGGCCTGAATCTGGCTCTGAGCCAGCAGTAGTTCCCATCCTCTGTGTTAGCTGCAGCACGCTGTGCTGGAGAGTCAAAAGGGGCTCCCTCCCAGGTGCCCTACAAGTTTCAAAAGTTCTTCTCTTATTTTAATTCAACTTCTGTAAAAATTTTGGAGGGTAATGCTGACATTCGAAGCTGCGCTCACACAGTCGGGGCTCAGCCAGGCTCCCAGGCAGTGCTGGGTGCAGACTGGACCCGTGTCTCTGAAGCTGGTGCCCATAGGCCGCACATAGCTCTCGCAGGACCTTCTGCTAATGACAATCTTCTGGTCCAGTGCTGGTGGGAATGTGGGCTGTCCCGCCCGACCACATTTCAGACATTCCCCAGGGAGCGAAGCTCCTGCCACCGGGCAGCAACACAAACATCAGCGCCTTTAACACATTTCCTGCACACCCGACAGCAGCTTCACGTTGTGGGTGGGAAAGGAAGAGGCAGACAATCGGAGGAAAACAGAGAGGCATGAGGCTGGGAGGAACTCTACAGGAGAATAGTCTAATTATAGAGTCCGCTCCTCAGGCCTGAGAATCCAGTGAGACGGGAAGTTAGAGTGGCCAGACCGGTTGCAGGGAAGAGCCGCGCATGCCCTACAGTGAGGTTCCCGTATGTGACCCCGTTAGACCCCCGTGACGTCAAGGTCCCGTTCCTAGTGGAGCCATAGGTTCTGAGAGTTAGCTCGATTGCAGTAGGGCACCCAGCGTGGGGAAATGACAGACCACCATCCTGCATCACAGTGCGGGGTCCCTGGGGTCCATGCTGGGATTCCAGGCCCGAGCTGCCACAGACAGCTTTTTAGCGGCACGCTGAGAACGTACCTGGCCCTCATGCTTGTGCCGAGAAGCACCGACTCCTCCGCCCACCGGCTCCCAGTCGTTTTAAGTGATAACTATCCAGAGACCTGGGTGGAGATGAGCTGAGACCAGGCAGCTGCTATGGGCTGGGAGGAAGACTAAGGTGGTGGCGGCTTCGTCCTGGGGACACTTCACGTCATTGAGCTCTCGAGGAAATGCGGCAGACATTTCCGCGTTTGTTCCTTGGCTCCTCGACATGCTCGAGTGCATTCTGTATCACAGACATGCACCAGCATCAGGAGATGCTGCGTGAGGGGGAAGGATGCAAGAGGCAGAGGGGAAGGAAGCCAGGGAGGCCACAGTAGGCCTCCGTGTGCTTTGGTATTGAAAGAAAACAGCTGGTGTCTGCTCTGCCTGCATCCTCCATCAGGCGGGCTCTGCTCGGGGAAAGACATGGCTGCACTTGGGTCCTCACCCACCACCTGCAGGTTGACACAGAAGAGCTGCACCCACTCAGGCACAAGTGTCTGGGATTCTCAGTTTGCCTGCCCTTCTGGCCCCAGGGCTGGGGGCGGAGGAAGCCTGCATGTCTGTGTTGTCCATCGCTGGTCTCCCTAGCTTGTCTCTGGCGCAGTTTCCCGTTCACCTCTGTCCAGGGTTGTCTAGCAGGCCTGACTCACCGAAACCACAGCCAAGTCACCGGGTGGTCTGAGTCACTGACCCTTGGAGCATCTTACACAGTAATAAAAGGCAAAGTACCTAAGTAAGTAAGGAGTTTCGCAATAGATTGGGTTAAGAATCTTTCTTGGTGCAAGGTTGGTCTGGGAATTCCCGGTGTGTGTCAGGTGACTTTCTTCGGCAGTTGTGAAACAAGCAAATTGCTTCATCTCCTGGCAACCACCTTCCCTGTCCCTCTTCCCCTTCCCCTCCCTCCTTTGTTTCTACGAACAGCTGCTGGTGCCATGCGAGTCCCCAGGTCGCACAGGACGGCATAAGCAGGTGAAAGGGCAAGCAGGGCACGTTTGTGGCCAGCAGGAACCCGGGGGGGGGGGGGGGGGGGGCGTTGAACTGGGCTGTGGGAATGTGAGCCAGGTGAGACCCAGAGAAAAGACATTCCAAGCAAGGTGAGGTGACCCTTTGCCACCGTCCATGGTAGTCAACTGCAGTGTCTGTCTATCTGTCTGTTTGTCTGTCTGTCTCTCTGTGTAGGTCAGAAGTGGTGTCCTTCTCTGTCACCCTCCAATTTATTCCCTTGAAGCAGTCTCTCACCGAGTCTAGAGAGAGCCCCAGTGATCTTTTTTTCTCTGCATCCACAACCGTGGCATTATGGGTGAGTGTGCGACCTGGCCTGGCTTTTTATGTGGGTGCTAGGGATGGGAATTCAGGGTCTCACGCTTGCCAAGCAAACATTCTGGCCCTCAAACTATCTTTGCAGCCCCATCTATAACGTTCTCTGGAATAGAAGCCTTCTTTGGGGGTCATTTGAGGCTACAAAGTGCCCCTCAAACACCGGTGTCTCTGCAGAGGCAGGGTGTGGACCGGCCAACAGGCCAGCAGCAGGATGGAGCCTGGTTCTTTCCCTAAGGACCCATTCCGTGGCTGAGGCTGCAATGAAGAGATAATCCATCTGCCAGAGATTGCCACTCCAGGCACAGCAAGGACAGAGGGCTCAGAAGGGATTGTTGGACAGGAATTTGGGGCACCTGTGACATACATAGTCACTCACCTTTGATTTTGGTTACAACTCTGGTAGCAAAGGTCAGTGTGGGTTCATGTGTTAACCAGCTTCTCAGACACAAGAGAAGCCCGTCCCTGACTGCAGTGTGCCCCCCATTCTGAAGCTAGGTCAACAGATTTAGAGTTAGTTAGATTGTATAGTACAGGGGAACTCCACAGCAGCCTCTTCAGTCAGTGGACAGTAAGAGCCAGGAGACAGATACGCAGCCTCCCGTTCTCTGGACAGAACGTTCTAGAAGGCAATAGCTGCCAGAGATTGAGCCCTGTTGCCCATAGCAGCTTCCTCGATGCCAAGGCAGGCAGTCACCTTCCTCCTTTCCCTGTGTTCAGAGACCTCCCCAGAGACCGCCTGGCCACGTTCCTTTTCCGCTCTGATTCTGAGGAAGCCAGACAGAACACTGCCCATACTTACCCTTGATGGACGGAATGAAGATGAAGGGTGTTTGTGATCCCCCTCAGCTTCCTCAAAGCACCATCTTGAGCATTTTGGAGCTGCCAATCATATCTGAACCAGAGGAGAGGCGATTTGTTTGTTTGTTTGGTTTTAATAGTTTTGGAAGCCTTTGGACCCACAAGAAACAGTTGTCACTAAGTCAAGCTGAGCAAAGAGTAACAGAGAAAATCCAGGAAGGGTCAGGTGGGGGGAGGGCAGGGGCAGGGAGGGGCAGGCATGGGGAAGGGGGCAAAAGGTATGGGTAGGAGTGGGGGTAAGGCTGGCAGAGGGACTTGCTCAGCTTGTGAGACAGGATGGTTTGATTCAAGGGAAGCTGCATGTTGCTCGTCCCCTGATTAATAGGGGTTGTTTTGTTCTCCAGGAACACAGGGCTAAGAGGGTCAACAGCCAAGAAAAGACTGGAATAATGGACAAGGCCGTGCACGGCTCTAAAACCGCGTGGATACTTTACCTTCGTGAACGTGCATTACAATAAGAAAGCAGTGGGGTTTATACTTTGAAATCAAAAGTTAACAGATAAAATGTTTATGTCTTTATTCTCAAGATAACCTGCTCAAGATAGTGTCAGAATGATTAAGGAAGAAAAAAAAATATGTATTTGAGAAGAGATCCTTTTCATCCAAGTGGTAACTTCAAAATTCTTAAATTTGTAGGGGAAAAATATTCTAAGAAGAAAAGAAACTTGTGTATTTGGCAAAATGTGATTAACTCCTACCCAGATATTTAAAGACATTCCTAATTTCATCTTTAAATTTTGGGACTGGAGAGACTGCTCAGCAGTTAAGAGCTCTTGCAGAAGACCGGGGTTCAGTTCCCAGAACCCACATCAGATGGCTCACAACTGCCTGTAACTTGGCTCCAGGGTATCTGATTCCCTCTTCTGGCCTCTGTGGGTACTGCACACACACACACACACACACACACACACACACACACACACACACACACCTTTTTAAAGAAATGATTATTTCCAAGTATCAGGCAAATGTTATTTAATAAATGGAGTCAATTGGTTGTATAGTTGAGAACATGGGGTTTGTTCTCAGAGAGAACAGTGATTTTTTTTAAGAGCTCCTCGTGTCCCTTTAGTTACAAACGAGCCCCAAGCCCTTGCTAGGACATGAGTTTTGCTCTATAGACATTAAAACAGCTCAAATAAAAAGTGGTAAAAATACCAAATGCTACCAAAGATTTGGCTATTTGGAAAAATAGTGCTTATCCTTTATTTGTGGGGATGTAAATCAGCGCCATCATCATCAAAAACCAAACACACACTTTGCCATGTGGCTCAGAAATTTCATTTCCAGAGAAATCAAAACCTCAGCAATACAGAGTTCATATGATCATAGCAGATGTATCTGTAAAGGCTCTAAATGAGAAGCAAACCAAGTGCCTCGCCACGGAGGAGTAAACAGGCAGCAGCCATTCGTCAACTGCAATCTCACCCAATAAAAAGAAATCAAATACTAATTCTCACAACAGCCCATATAGTGACTCACTCAAGAGCATCGTGGTGGGTGAAGAAAGCCAGTCTCGGAGCTCTGTGTGCTGTTTGATTTCATGAACACACCAATCTTTAGCGGACTAAAGACAGAGAAGGAAGCAGCTTTCAGAGCTGGAGGTGGGGCAGCAAAGGACTGTGACTCCAGAGACAGACTGCAGAGTGGACCCCGGGACCAGCACATGACAGAAAGACATGGAACTACACATGCTGAACCAGAGTTGCTCTCCCGGTCTTACCCTTCCAGCCGGGCCCTGGTGGAGATGGGGAACGGGTGTACAGTCCTATAACTATTTCAAAATGATTGGTTTGGTCAAGTCTGGTGGTGCAGGCTGCAATCCCAGTGGCCGGAGAGACTGAGACAGGGAGAGTTTCAGGCTCACCTAAGCAAATTGCTTGAGACCTTGTCTCAAGCTTTAAGACTACAAAAGGACCCCGTGCTTCCCCAGCATGCAGGAGGCCCGAGTTTGTCCCTCTTGTGATGGTTCGAGTGATAAGTGTCCCCTCCCGCAGGCTCAGATATTTGAACTCTTGGCCCACAACTGGTGGAGCTGTCTGAGGAGCTGGTGTGCTCTTGCTGGAGGAAGTATGTCACTAGGGTAGGCTTTGAGAGCCCACAGCCTCACCCACTTCCAGTGCATGCTCTCTGCTTCCTGTTCCAGCCCCTACCACTGGGCCTTCAATTGTTATGGACTCTCATCCCTCTGAAGCCATACACCCAAATATACCCTCTCTTCCTTAAGTTACCTTTGGTCACAGCAAAAGCAAAGTGACCAAGATACCTACCAGGCAAAAAGAAAGAAAGGAAGAAAAAGTGGGGATAGGTTGGGCTGGGATTTTGCTGTTGTTTGTTTTGCTTTGGGTTTTTTTTTTTTTTTTTTTTTGCTTTTGTTTTTGATCATCTAAACTTATTAGGAGCATAGAAGAAAGTGAGAACAGAAAAATCACCTGAAATCACCCCAAGAGCTCTGGCGTAGAAGCCTCCATGCCCTGTATCTGTCTGTCCTGTCTTCTCTCCTGGTTGAGGAACAGGAAGTGGCAGGCAGTGCTATTTTCCTATCTTGAGCAAGAACGAGGGCCACAGATGAAATGCTTGCTTTGTGCTGCCGGGTCTTCAAACAGGTTTGGAATGTTTAGATTCCCTGGAAGTCCAAAGTTCAGCAAACTGCTGCTTAGCAATGGCACACCTCACATACACACACACACACACAGAGAGAGAGAGAGAGAGAGAGAGAGAGAGAGAGAGAGAGAGAGAGAGAGATACTGGACTCCTGGTCGGACAACGTGATCAGCGTTTGAGGAAATCCCCCATCACAGAGAAAAACAATTTCTTCAGAATCAAAACTAAAAGGAGGGATGGGGTGATTTAGCTTCCCCAAGTGGGAACAGGCATTGGGGCATCTTTTAATGTTTTAGTATTCAATAAAGCTCGAGAGTCAAATTTTAGGGAATAAACTTGATTGCTCCATGGAGCAGCAGAGCAATGCTCACTTCACCCTCTTCTCTACTTCCCAGATCAAGAAGACGGCTCATCTTTTAGCCCTCCCCCTTCTTCTCTGTGTCCATCTGTCTCCTGTGAGTCCGTCAGAAAACTCTTTGGTCCACTCTTTGGGCAGTCTTCAGAGTGAACACACAAATCTCCAGCAACCAACAGGGATGCCCATCCTACCAGCAGCACCTCACTTCCAAGCCCAGGAACCGTTGATGGCCGTGCCATTGTTCAGATGGTGCGTCTCCTCCGCCCCCCCCCCAAGCCACACTTTAATAAACAACCACTAAATCCAGGGGCTTGTGGCTATCCCTGAATAACGATGGCTCATGGACACAGCACCCTTTGCAGTCTTGAACTGGAAGTGAGAATCAGTTGGTATTTATTAGCCTCGTTCTCTCGAACTCAGCCCAGCCCTGACTGTCCTGTGCAAGGCTTTACAGAAGTGAATGAGCATGCTCTGTCCCTTTAAAGAGCCTGTTGGGGAAAACAGACCTTAAACAAATAAAGAACTAAGTGCAAGTCCATGCCTTCTGGAGCTCTCCGCCAAGCTACCGGTAGCAGGAAAACAAACATGGGAAGCAGGAAGGAGGTCCAGAGAGCTCCTGTGAGGTGGTTCTTGAGCCAAGAGACTGAATGCAAGGAAGGACCGCACCAAACAGGAGAGAAACCACCACTGGCAAGGCCTGGAAGAGAAGAACGGCTTGAGACTTGAGTCAGAGGGTGGTGTTTCTGAGGAGAGGAGAGCCTGTGGGCTGTGCTGGGGTTTGCTGCTGTCTTCTGGGCAGTCTGCTGAGCAGCCTGTTCCCAAGGATCTGCAGAGCCCCTACAGGCTGAGCTGTACTTGGTGGGGGGTGCAGGATCATATTTGAGCCCTGCCCGTAGGGAATTCTCAAACCACAAACGAAACGCACAGTGGACTTCAAGGGGCTGTGCTGTTTTCAATCTCTGAATTGGGAAGCTGCCCCTGCAGAATGAAAATTCCGCTGGAAGGGCCAACCAGAGTCGGCAGCTGTTCAGTGGCATTGTTTGGGCCCAGGGGTCTAGCCTTGAACATCTCCTCTCCCCCTCCCTTCATTTCCCCTCCCTTCCCCTCTCCCCCTCTCTTCTCTTCAGTTTAAAACAGAGAAGAAACACATACACACACAACACCCTTAAAGACAGTCTTGTTTACTCTCTGAGATTAAAGAGCGTGGACTACCTTGGACAACATAAGCAGATCTTTAAACACACTGTGGACAAAACCCCTCTAATTGCTAAACTATGAGGTGAGGTTCCACACAGGCGTGTGCTGCCCGCACTTACATGTTTGTTCTCTGTTAGAGGCCAGGAGCTGAGTCTCGGAGCAGATTTTATTACTGAAGCTATAAATTAAAACCCATTCTCGTGCCATGCATGCCGTGGGCAGTGGTCTTACACCTACTCCCTGGAGCAGGTTAGTCCAGGACCCACCAGCATCTTTGTGTGGCATGCTTCACAGCCGATCTGGTGACTGACAAACTGGCCTTGGGTTACAGGACAAGATTTGGGGTTACTGGAGCGCAAAGAGCAGAGGGGCGAGCTGGAGCCATCGGTTCCGCCTTTCCCTTCCTTGCACTGATCTTTTGCATGTGTGCATGTGCACACGGGTATTCGTGTGTATGTGCTCGAGCACGTGTGTGGGTGGTGCACATATATGTGTCTGCACATGCATATGGAAACCAGATGTCAACAAACCGTGTCATTCTCTATCGTCCCCTGACTTCTTAGGGGATGAGAGGTGGGCACAATCTCACTCTGTAGATCTGGCTGATTTTGAGCCTGAAGCAATCCTCCTGCCTCTGCTCCCATGCTGGGATTATAGACCTAGGCCATCATGCCTGGCTCACCTCTCCTTCCAGGTTTAGGTTTTGAAGTTCATTTCCCACTCTTACATTCCATGGCCATGATTTTCTGCAGTGTGGATCCCCGCCACCTGGCTGGGAGTTGGGGACAGAGGACGAGAGAAGAGGGGGCCTGGACAACCCCCTCACCTGGAGAGAAGCCAGACTCTGTCGGTAAGACCTAGCGCCAGGCATGTTTTCAGGGGTAACTCTCCTGTGCTGCATGTACTAAAAAGACACGCATATCCAGTGACTAGTTCCCCTGCCCAGCCTCTCCCACTCATCTCCTGGGGATCTGATGCCCTCTCTCCACCTCCACTGGCACCTACACACTCACACACACACTCACACACACCACACACTCACACACACACTCACACACACCACACACACCACACACACTCACACACACCACACACACACTCACACACACACCACACACACTCACACACACACTCACACATACTCACACACCACACACACACTCACACTCACACACACACACACCACACACACACTCACACACTCTCACACACACTCACACACACCACACACACCACACACATATGCACATGTGAGTGCAGTGTTAAAATCTTTTAAAAGGATTTACCATTTGATTGATATTTACAATTCTAGGTAGAATTATAATATTCGAAATAACTACTTTTAATTAATTAATTAACTGTGTTTCTTTGAGACAGGATCTGAAGCTCACTATGTAGCCCAGGTTTGGCTTATACTCATGGAAATCCTCCGGCCTCAGCTTCCCGTGTCCTGGAATTACAGGCATACGACGCCACTTCCAGCTTGAGATAACCTTAGATTTAACATTATCATAAGTTTAATATTTTAAACAGTGAAAACCATTGGTTCTTAGGAAAGTTTTTAACACAGAAAAATGAGCATTTAAGTAGAAAACCAAATACATTGAATATCTGCTTACAAATATTTGAGAAAGGCGAATGAATCGAGTTTGTAAATGGAACCAAACATAACATCATGCAGAGACCCCTTCTAAGATGCCCAGCCTTATGAATAGGGTCACAACATTCTAAATCACTAGTTTAAGGGACGAGATGGGCATGCACACATGCATGAGGGGGCGGAGAGGGTCACAGACTGCACAGAAAGGAGAAAGTGAGCTGAGCGCAGCCTTCGCCCCTCTCTGCTTCCTGAGGGCAGAAGCAATGTGACCGCTGCCCGTGCTCCTGCCGCCTCCCCCACAAGACACACTGCCCCTTCACACCCTGAGCCAAGGCAAACCCTCCCTTCCCTAAGTTGCTTTCGTCAGGTCACAGCTATGAGAGAAGGAACGTGTACCATCAGGCTGCATTATACAAATAAATAAATAAACAAGCCAGAAACGGTGAGTCTAATAAATAAAAACCAGAAAAGAGAGAGAAAACTGGAAACAGGTGTGCGGCTTTTCATAGTTAGCGTGAACTGTCAGCTCGACACAGCCTAATCAACTGAAAAAAAAAAACGTGTCTGCAGGAGTTTGGACTGCGGACACATCTATAAGGAACTGTCTTGATAGCCATCGGGATGTGGGAGGGGCCCAGCCCACTATGGGCGACACCGTTCCCTGAGCAGCTGGTGTCCGACAGGGTAAGAAACCGCACAGCACGCACGAGCCTGAGCCACCAAGTGAGCACGGCTCCTTCAGGTCTCTGCTTCAAGCTCCCGTCTTGGGCTCCTGCCCTGACACTGTGTGATGAACTGTGACCTGCACGTGAAGGCCAAATCACCCTTTCCCTCCCCTGGTTGCTTTTGGTTGCGGTGTTTATCACTGAAATTCCAGAAACTAGGGCGCCACTTAATCCAAGAATCACAAATGGCATGCCTTTAAAAACAAAACAAGAGACCCTAAGTAAACAAATGCGCATCCACATAAAGTTCACAAGAGAAAAGCCAAGAGTGACTAAGTGTTGATTCTGTTCTTCCCGACACGCACCAGGAAAACACAAGCAGCGGAAAACCAAGAAAGATAAGAGATGACCCCCAAACTGAACTCAAGACTGAGCCTTGGAACGAAGAGTGGCCTTGTTCACGACAGGCTATGAGCAATGGCAGGCTGTGGCTGTGAGACACAGCAGAGCAAATGGAGAATGTTCGAATCTCAGCAACAGCAGGTTTCCGTCTCGCTTTCTCATCATCTGATGTCATTCAGGAGCTAGAGACATCCCACAGTGGAAAGGTCTCGATATCACCACAGTCAGCTGGTGTGGTAGCTCTGTATGATCTTATCCCACCCTGAAAAACATGCTCCGAAATTAACATGCAGTGCTGGCGGGATGCAACGCCTGCGCTACTCTCTACGGTACCGTTCGCCAGCGGGCGAGGGCCTGGAGATTAAAGGAACACAAGAGACGTGGGTCATCTGTGAAGATAGAATGCCGAATGCCATTTATTCAAGGTTAGAAAAAAACCTTATATACATAGCTGCTGCACAATGGAAATCCCCCCAGACAGGTGAGAAATTAGCAGGCCCTATAGCTAACCACCAGGGGCGCAGAAGAAGCACAGGTACAAACTGCAACAAGATGTTTTGCCAGAAACTGCAAGCTTTTCTCACTACTAGCCCAGGGAGGGAGGAGGGGCAGGCCTGTGGGCCCTGTAGTGGGACAGCCCAGTCAGCAGAGTCCCTGCTGCATGGCGTTCAGTTGTAACCCCAGAACTGGACTTGTGATGTGGGCTTGGAGCTAAAATGGGAGGATCCTTGGAGCCTGCTAGCCAGACAGTCTAGTCTCAGCAGTGAGCCCTGGGTCTCAGCGAGAGAGCCTGTCTCAAAGAACAAAGTGGATGGCTCCTAAGACCTCTGATCATCACATGCACGCATGTGCACGCACGTACTCACGTGAACAGACATGCACACGTTTGAAAATATCAGCATACATGTTGTCTTAGTCACTGTTCTGTCGCATGATGAAGGCAACTCTTGTAAAGAAAGCATTTAATTGGGAGCTTGCTTACAGTTTTGGAGACTTAGTTCTTTATCACCATGAAAGGGGGCATGGTGGTATGTATGGCACTGGAACAGTCCTGAGAGCTGCATCCTGATCCGCAGGCCAAGAGAGAATGACACTGGGACTGACATGGGCTTTTAAACTTCAAAGCCCACCCCCAGTGACAAACTTCCTCCAACAAGGCCA